TACGTGCAGCAATGCGAGGCGAAGATTGACCCGCTTCTGCTGAACCCGCAGCGGTCTACGACAGACCCCCGAGCGCGCTGCGTCTGCTGCGGGAAGCTTCAGTACGGTTACGCACTCCGTACAATCATCGGGCGGGACATCGTGCGGCGCTGTATTGCCTGCGAGAACGGCCCAAAAGCGGTTGAGCTTTGGGAGGAAAAGCCCCCACCACCCGAGTCGGCCGAAGTGCGCCGCCAGGAAAGCCTGGCGAGCGTCAAGAAGGCGATGGGTCCTGACAGGTACCCCAAGAAAAAAAGAGGCGCAGCCGCCTTCGCAAGCTGACCGCCCGAAATGTCACTCCCACAGTTTGTGTACATGCAGCAGCACTGCTACGGTAATTTGTGTCCGATTTCGCGTAGCTGATGTTGCCTTGAGGCTTGTCGACAACCCCACCATTCTGGGATACTGTCGTGTACTGCGGCCAGTCCGTGCCACAACCCAGAACAGCATCGCAAGCTGACACAAAGATGGTCTTCAGATCCAAACAGTCAAACGCGTACGCTGCAACAGTAGTCACGATCTGCTGTTGCTCATTCGAGGCAGGTACAATACGCGCAATAATCGACGGCGGCCCAGCGAAGTTTATTCCTTGCGTCTCGCGTAAAAGGATCTGAACTGCCAAGTCCGCCTTTGAGTCCGTGCACATCGCCAAGAAGTCACGTCGACGCGCATACTGTATGCTGTCTGTCCGAGATGCGTGAAGGTGTGCAGCAGAGTGGACATGTTGAGGTCACTGTTCGTGACTGGGGAATTCAATACTATACGTTGAACCGAAGCGAAGAAGCGCCGTTGCATCACCAACGCACATCGTAGCTGCTCGTTCAGCTTCTCCGCTTGGTGTCGCTTGTGTCGTTGCATCATAGTATACTCCTTACTCTCCACAACAGTCCCATCCGACTGCAGCAACTAAGAGATGGAGCTACAGACTGGTACCTTAGCGGACGAACCACTCCATCTAAACGCTTGTGGGGTGGTGGGACACTGCAGTGAACCAACGGACGACTTGGACATGAACTTCTTGTCCGACTTGCTGCCGTCCGACAGCTCGCGAGTGGAACTTCTATCCACGAGTAACGAGTCAGGGGACTCATCACCGACAGGCAGTCTCAGTAGTGATTCAGCCGATACAAGTAGCAGCGCGAACGAGCCCATGAAATCTGGTAGACCCAAGAGAGCTAAGCCGATGCTGTCTCCGCCTTCGTATTCGGAGCTAGCAGAGGCTGAGCCTGGACGGGAGCAAGAGAGACGACAGACCGATCGCAAGGCAAGACGACGAGCACAAGTCGCCAGCAGCGCTCGACGCCTGCGTTGCAAGAAGAAGGTGTGTTGGTCACCCGGTGGATGACGTGATTGACTCACTAATATTATGTGTGTACCCATTACAGAACGAGAGGATGACGCTGAAGACCGAGGCGAACTACTTGGAGCAACAATTGGACACTCTCCGCTCAAGACACAAACAATCGCGTGCTAATAACGCCGTAGCAGCGTGGGAAGAGCGAGCCATTGCACAGCGCCATAAGCGGCGACAGGCGGAGAAAACGAACGAACAGCTACGACAAGCATTATTTCTACAAAGTGGCTTTGTACGGAACCTCCGGTCGATGTTCATCGACACGATGCCGTGTAGTATTGAATTAAATATGCGCAACTTCCTCCACACACCCACGCGTCTACTGAAGGACCAACGCTCTCGAGTACGAAATTTGGAGAGTGTTTGCACCGATGCGAAGCTTGACATGGCTAAGCAGATCATCATGGAGGAAACGGGCGGGATTAAGCCATTCACAACGCCTCACATTGCCTGCCAACAGATCGATCTGGGACGTGACGGCTTTGGAATGGCCACAGTGGCTGTGTACGCGCTGGAAACTCGAAACGCGTGCAAAACGTTCAAAGCCACGTGCAGTGCCGTCATGAACTGTGTGGCGGTATGACCAAATTACAGGCTTGTGAACTCCTCATCGAAGGCTGCAGATTTACCCCCAACGAAGCTCAACATTCGATACGGGAAGTCCCACAACGTCTACGAGAGCGACGCTACGGGCGATCGGGTGTCTGTGGAGGGCCGAGAGATCTCGTACTACCGCATGACCAAGGACTGCGGTATCTTCCTGTGGGATTATGTGGATGCGGACGATCTGAATCCGATGCAGAAGGAGACGACTGCTAGGCGCTGCACGATCGGAGCGTAACTTTGCTTTGTTTTTGTGCATTTGCAGTAGTAGACACTGACTATTGGTGTGTATGCTGCAGAGTGCTGGTGCGGCCTGAGATCTGTGTTGACGGCGTGGAACGCATCGTTTGCCGCAATATCTGCACAAAAGTTCACCTCGTGGACTCGTCCGAGCTGACACCGAGCTTGGAGCGTTTCTCAAGGTCGAGGCAGTTGTGTGCTCAGATCTGCGGATCGTTGGTATACGAGGCCATTAGAAATGACGCAGCGACGAGCTCGTGCTAAGAAACCAAATTTGGTGAGGAAGGGCAACGCTGTGTTCTCAATTGCTCAGTTAGGTGAGCTTCTCTACTTGTCAAAAGTTTGTTCGATGGCACACCGAGTACAAGTAAAACGTGGGGTACCGGAAACATCGTAATTTGGAGAATGACGCTGTGTGGTATGTATTTTACAAGGTTTTCTCTGGTAAATGATGTTGCTTCAGGTAATTGTCGTTGGGGCCAAGTATACCGGTGCTTGAGTAAGTGTACATGTATTTTTGGTCCAAAGGCTTGGTCAGTGGCGCGTATACAAACTGATATCCTCGAGGACGATTACGGGGACAAGTCTTGTTGACGTATCTCGTCGGGACTGAAGACGTTAAAGCTCAGTCTTGAAATTAATACACGCACATCACGTGATAAGAACCGACAATAAGCATGAGATCTCTTGGCGATGCATCGATCAGTGTGGGCGACGCAGATTTCGACATGAATTTACTGTCTGAATTCCTGTTCCAGACGGATGAGGTTCCTCAAGTACTCGACGATAACGAACTTCAGATCAGTATCCCTTTGACAACAAGCACGGACGGCACTAGTAGCAGCGACGACGCAAATGTGTCGCCTAATTCCACCTTGCTTTCGATTGGAAACGACAAACTGACGGACCGCAAGACGAAACGAAGGGCACAAGTGGCGGTGAGTGCGCGACGGCATCGCTACCGCAAGAGACACGAGGTGCTGGACCTAAAAAAGAAGGTGACGGACCTCACCGATCAGCTGCATTATCTGCGCTCCAAGCACAAACGGGGACCAAGAAGTCTGAGTACGAGAACGAGTTAGCGACGAAAACGGAATGTCTACATCATGTCAAGCGCTCGTGTGGGGATTTTCATTTCCTACCAATATCGAGTGAGCTGGGCCCTGTAGACGCGGTACTCTTCAGTTCAGGCGCTACCTTACGGTCGTCATAGCTTTACTTCGTTTTTCGGTCTAGTTTTGATAAGCTAGATTTGACTAAGCTATTTTTTTAAATCAGTCTTAATAATTTAATTGTTCCAGATTCAGATTGATGAAACCCTTCCCTAGCCCTAGTGGTGCATAATGACATTTTACATTTTCCACTAAATCCCGCTTCCTGATGAAGAATACCGGTAGTACTGAGCGTCTAGAGGCACCCGACAGCTCCACCAACGTCGTGCTAGGTAAAGTTTCGCACCGTCGACCTGAATCCCGGTTCCTTCGATCCAGCCACCCAGCGTTATAGCGTCCTTGCTGTGCCCGTGACATTAAAGTCTAACCCTCTTTCACTAATGAGCTGCTGTTTGTATCCGAATTTCTAGGTGGACACGATTCTCTTAATTTTGCCGATTTTGAGACGCACCGAGAACCCACCAGTCAAATAAACGAGGTCGACTTGACCTTCTTGTCTGAGCTTCTGTCTCAAAATTCGAACGTCCCAAATGACGTCCCAAATGTCACCGTTCCCATGATGAACAAAGCACCGTCGCCCTCATCGTCAAGCCACAGTAAGTGGAAGCACCAGTAGCGCAAAGTCGTCCGATGATACGAATGCTGCTAGTGGGTTAGAGCACAGCGATAAGCTGGTGTCATCATCGCCAGAGTCTGTGGACGATAATGCTCAAACAGACAGCCGCAATGAGAGACGCAGAATGCTCAGTGCAAAGAATGCTCGACTCTACCGCTCCCGCAAGAAGGTAATACTGGTTATAAGCAATCTTCACTGGTATATAACGTGTTTTCTCATTATTGCAGAATGAGCTGGTGACGTTGAAAGAGCAAGCTCACCGATTCGAGGAGCAGCTGAACGCATTACGGCGCAGACATCACGTGCTCCGCGCAGATAGTGCTGTTGCATGTTGGGAGGAGAAGGCAATTGCTCAACGACTCAGAAGGCGTCAAGCTGAGGAGTTAAATGAGCAGCTGAAGCACGCACTATTTACCTATACCGGTGTGGGTCGCGACTCGAGGTCCATTTTTACCGAGTCGGCACCTCCAAGCGCAGCGCTCAATATGCGGCATTTTCTACACATGTACACTCACCTCCGAAGAGAGCCCCACCTCCGAATGCGAGACTTGGAAGCTGTCGGCACGGCCACCAAGATCAACCGTGCTATGCAAGTTGTGTTACGCGAAACAGCGACCATCCCGGTTTTTACTGCCCCCGAGATTCTGTTCCAGGAGCTCGATCTAGGCGCTGAGGGTCTCGGCAAGACCAGCACTGCAGTGTATGCGTTCAACACTAGAGATGCGAGCAAGGCATTCGACGTGGCGTGCAGGGCGATACTGAATACCTGTGGAGTTTGGCCTGATCACTCCCGAATTGAGTCATCGATGAAGTTTGTAGACGTCCCCCCAACGGAATTCAATGTTCGGTACGGTATCACAAAGCACAGCTACCAGCATAACGTGACGAAGGCTCAAGCTTCTACTGAAGCGAGGGACCTTTATTATTCTCGAATGATCGGGTCTTGCGGTGTTCTGGTCTGGGACTTTGTCGACGACGACGACTCGTACCCGCTGAAATGTAGCACATTTATCAAGCGTGACACCGTCGGAGCGTACGTTTATTTGAATATCGCTGTTAAGAACACTTGTTAAAAGAAATTCTAACTTGC